TGTTAATAATCATATAAACAAGTGTATCTACATATACATACATATGCAACAGTTTCAGAAAAATAGCACATATGATAATATGTGTGTATACATAGATACATACACATACACACACATACATGGCATACATATATAATTACAAATAAGTCATTATGTCAATATTGCTAGGAACTAAGATTTTTAGCTTAAGAGCAAAGAGACATAAATATAAAATTAAAGTCGAAACATGGGTAGGAACTCGTTATGCATTGTCTTGGAAACATCTTGTGATACCAGAAGGCAGGAAGTATCAAGGATCACGTTAAAGAGACAGAGGAGCCGATCTAAAAGGGATCCAATGAGTCAAAGAGGAACAATCTGACCATCAACAAGGAAATTCCAGCAATGGAGGGAAGCAAAAGAAATATGTTAAAACCCTAAGACCAGACTAATTCCAAACATATGAAAACAAAACAAAAAACCCCAACATTTTTCACTGGTCTTCTCTGGGGGATGCCAGGATATTTCAGATACAATTCATTATTCTGAAAACTGGTAAGTAAAGACACAGATCAAGCATTTAACCTGCTTTTCCTGTAGCAGCTGTACCACCAGGTAACCAAATAGGTAACATGGGAAAGTTTCTGTTTATAGAAGAATTCTGGCTGATATATGCACAAGAAGTGACAGAATTTGACTATCACCACTGCAGAATTCCTAACGAAATAATACACCCAGTCCAAGAGTCACCAAGACTAACAACACCTGGACTGAGTGACAGAATTACGACAACATTATGCGTCTTTTGATGGAGGCAACAGGAAGTACACGGCACCCTTTATGAAGTACTCTTGTCAATAACTCAAACCTAACTCTGATCAAGCCCCTAGTTCTAACTACTGGTTTACAGGAAAAACACAGGATAGAGGAACAAGTTAAAAGACACCACGGAGATGGAATCCACAGAAAAATGCAGAGTGTGGTAAAATCTACAGGACAAGCAACTTGGTTTCCTCAACAAATATATGACAAGAAAAAAGACAGAGAAAGAGGAAACTAGAGCTTAAAAGAGACTTAAGTGGTTTCTCAATCAAATGTAATGTGCAGACGCTGTTTGGCTCCTACTTCAAACACACCAACTGTTAAACCACCACCAGAAAACATTTACAAGACCACTTGTAAGTCTGAATGAAGACTGGACATTTGATATCAAGGAATTATTATTATTATTATTATTTTTAGGTATAGTGGTGCTGTGGTTATTTTCAAAGAGTCCTTCTCAGAGGTATATACTGAAACATTTACATATGAAATAAGATTAGAAACCTAGCATTTACTTTAAAATCATCTGATGGAGCAAGGATAGAAAAGGTCGTAGAACAGATGAAACAAGACTAGATATGCCTTAATAACTGCTGAAGTTGGCTAGATAGTAGATAAGAATTATCTCAGGTAAAGGGAAGGACAACACACAATACAGGGGAAGCCAGCACAACTGGACAAAACCAAAAGCTAAGAAGTTTTCTGAATACAACCAAATACTCCGAGGGACAGAGTAGCAGGGGTGGGGGTCTGGGGTCCATGGTTTCAGGGGACATCTAAGTCAACTGGCATAACAAAGTTTATTAAGAAAATGTTCTGCATCCCATTTTGGTGAGTGGCATCTGGGGTCTTAAAAGCCAGCGAAGCAGCCATCTATTGGTTGGGACCACCTGGAGCAAAGGAGAATGAAGAACACCAAAGACACAAGGAAAGTATTAGCCCAAGAGACAGAAAGGGCCACATAAACCAGAGACTGCATCAGCCTGAGACCAGAAGAACTAGATGGTGTCTGGCTACCACCAATGATCGCCCTGACAGGGAACACAACAGAGAGTCCCTGATGGAGCAGGAGAAAAGAAGGGTGCAGAACTCAAATTCTAGGAAAAAGACCAGACATAATGGTCTGACTAAGACTGGAGGGACCCCAGAAGACATGGCCCCCAGACTCTCCATTAGCCCAGAACTGAAACCATTCCTGAAGCCAACTCTTCAGACAAAGATTAGACTGGACTATACGATATAAAATGATACTCATGAAGAGAGTGCTTCTTAGCTCAAGTAGATACACGAGACTAAACAGGCAGCTCCTGGCCAGTGGTGAGATGAGAAGGCAAAAAGGGACAGGAGCTGGTTGAATGGATACGGGAAATCAGGGGTGGAAAGGAGGAGTGTGCTGTCACATCACAGGGAGAGCAACTAGGATCACATAACAATGTGTGTTTAAATTTTTGTATGAGAGACTAACCTGAATTGTAAACTTTCACTTAAAGCACAATAAAAAAACAAAGATAATAATTGTTGAAGTTGGGTGATTTGAACACATGAATTCATTATACTGTTCTCGCTATTTTTCTACAAATTCAAAAACTGTATGAAATGAGTTTGAAAGGAAGACATCATTAACAGAGTAGAAAGACACCAACTAGTAGAAGATCTTCGTATCACACATAACTGACATGGATTAGTACCCAGAATTTAAGAACTCGCACAAATCAATAAGAAAATGACAGATAACCTAATCTACTAAGAGGTGAAAAGTATGGACAGGCTCTTCACAAAAGAAGAAAACCATACCGAAGATGAATGAATGAACAAGCAAATAAAAAAGATGATCTGATTACTAATAAGAAAAATACCATTAAAATCACAATGCCAATGAGCTCTCACTACACACCATTCAGATCAGCAAAACATTAAAGACCTTAGTATATCCAGCACTAGGAAGGAGCCAAAGTGATGAGAACGCTCACCCACCGCTGGTCGGAGTGGAGTACAAAAACAATACGGAAAGCAGCGCGGCTTGACCGAGTAAAGAATACGTACAGAACATGTACTCTGTGAAGCACAATTCCACTCTTAGCTGTCTGCTCTGGAGAAAATCTTTCACATGTGTACCAGGAGACGTGTAACAGTGTACAAAATCTGTACACAATACAATGGAAACGAGTGAACCACAGCTCCATACAACATGATGAATTCCACAAACCTTATATTAAGCAAAAAAAGCAAACAGTACAAGAATACTTATACTATGACTGTACCACATACAGTCCAAAAACAAGCAAAATCTAAACAAAATGTTGTTTGGAAACAGATGCCCAGGTGGTAAATGGCAAAGAAGTACAAGAGAATGGCCAACATAAAGTCAGAAAAACCCTACAAAGACCCAGAAAGCCAGCGCGACGGGAGGGAGGAAGGTGTTATTGTGGGGGTGTACAGAGGGGCTTCTGAAGCATGGGAAGCGCCGTTTCTTACCCCGTGTGCCTGGTGCTCAGGGGCTCGTGTTCTGTGCTCTTTGAAAGGGTAGCACAGGGGAGGGGTTAGTGTGCCCACATGAAACCCAACTGCTTGGGTGCTGAGAGGATTAAACGAGCTGACATACAAAAAACATTTAGAACAGTGCCTGGCACTTCGTATTGTATGTGTGCTGGCTAGTAAATACACTGTACATATGTGTTCATTTTACTATTTAAAACTGAGGGGGAAAAAGGAAAGTATGCAGGAAGTCCTGAAGCTGAAACTAACAGCAAGGATCCCCTACTCCCCATGTGCTGTCAGCACTGGGCCAGCATGGTCACGGGCTGAGAATCACACACAGCTGACAGTGTGGGGAGGGGTCTCTGCAGCAAGTCTTCTCTACAGTGAGGGACAGGAAACTTCCAAGCTGGTTTTCTCTTCTTTTTTAAAGACAGGCTTGGAAAGCATCCAAGGCAAGCCCTTTTTAATTTAATTAGGATTTCTACAGTATTTTATGTTATTTCCTAATAAGGAAAAGCTTTTAAAAACACAAAAGAAGGCTAAAAGGCTTTGATGGATGCCCTCATGCCTCCCAAGAGAAGCAGGAAGCGTTACAAAACACTTAGAAAAATAAAACCATTCTTAAGGCACTGAGGCAGTGAAACTCAGCCCATCCTTAAAACCCTCTGTAACTGGCATATGCTATTTAAATCAGGAGAAAAATATTTCCAATTCATTTATCCCCACCTTGAATACAAGAATTCTATGAAATTACTTTCTTCTTAAATCCTGATTTAAAATTAGTAACTGTACAGATTAACTAGTAAAAAATGTCTGCCTTGTAAGAGAGGGTTAGGAGCTGGTTGAATGGAACTGGGGAATCAGGGGTGGAAAGGAGAAGTGTGCTGTCACAGTATGGGGAGAGCAATTAGGGTCACATAACAATGTAGGTATACATTTTTGTATGGGAGACTAACTTGAAATGTAAACTTCACTTAAACTACAATAAAAAAAAATTAAAAAACTGAAGAAAAAAAAAGTCTGCCTTGAGTATTATGCTCTTCTAAGAACTAACTATATGGGATCAAACTGACAACGCAATTTGAAAGATTAGACAGGAACCTTAGAGGGCAGTGAGTTTAGGTTAACGGGGGAGGAACAACTTGGAAAAGGAGGGTGAGAATGGTTTCATAGCTTGAAGAATGTAATCCACATCACTAATTGTACCTGTAGAAATTGCTGAATTGGTGTATATTCTGCTGTGTATATTCTCAACAGCAACAACAAAAAATAAAATAAATTATATTAAAAAAATTAAAATTAGTAACTACAGCATTATTGTAGTAATAAAAATTAGGAAACATCTAAAACCTCAGTCTGTGTGTGTGACAGTGCATCCATGAGATTCAATCAACATGTCTGTACACACACAGAGGGGTCTGGAAAACACACGGAAACTGTCAACTGGGTCCATCTGGAGAGTGGAGGATAAAGCGGGAAGGTGCAGTTCTCACTTACATGCAGCTACATCAGTTTGATTTTTTCTTTTACCACAAATGTATATTATTTTTTGTTTTAGATTACTACTATTCTTTCCCCCAAACTAGCTGTTACTGGTTAATTACAAAGGTAAAACATATCCACTGTAAAGAAAACAGATTAACAAAGAGAAAAATAACATTTATCCTAAATCCACCAGTAAGAGACAACCACAGGGACCTGATCTGCGAGATCATTCTCACCTTTGTAAGGTGTCCCCACACTTGTTGCATACACGTTCTTCTCATATTTCTTCAAACGGTCTTCTAAATTGTGAATCTAAAAATAACAAATACCCGAACAGTATCATAAGACTCATATGGAAACCATACGTAGGGAAGAAAAAGATTTCTGCAGCCGCTAGATGTTTCAAATGCTGAAGACAAAATATACGCAAATAAAATTTATACAAATAGTTTCTTATATATGACATCAAAAGTACAAGCAACAAAAGAAAAAAAAAGATAAATTGGACTTCATCAAATTTAAAAACTTGTGCAAAGAACACTATCAAGAAGGTGAAAAGACAACCCATTCGATCAGAGAAAATATTTGCAAATCATGTATCTGATAAGGGTCTAGTGTCCAAATATATAAAGAACTCTTAGGACTCAACAAGAAAAAAGACAAACAGCCCAATTAAAAAACAGACAAAAGAACAGACATTACTCCAGAGAAGGTACACAAACAGCCAATAAGCACATGAAAAGATGTTCAGCAGCATCATTAGTTGCTAGGGAAGTGCAAATCAAAACCACAAGGAGGTACCATTTCACACCCACAATGATGGCTATGGAAACCCCCGTGGTGTAACGGTTAAGAGCTATAGCTGCTAACCAAAAGGTCAGCAGTTCAAATCCACCAGGGCTCCTTGGAAACTCTATGGGGCAGTTTCTACTCTGCCCTAGAGGGTCACTGTGAGTCAGAATTGACTTGGTGGCAAAAGTTTTAGGGTGGCTATAAACAAAAAACAGACAAGGCAATGGTGTAGAGAAATTACAGCCCTCATACATTACTCCTGGGAATGTAAAATGGTGCAGCTGCTGTAAAAAACAGGTTGGTGGTTCTTCAATAGGTTAAACATAGAATTTCCATATGACCCAGTCATTCTACTTCTGGGTCTATACTCGAAAGAACTGAACACAGGTGTTCAAACAAAAAACTTATACACAAATGTTCACAGCAACATTATTTATGATAACACCATCAACTGGTGAATGGATAAATAAAATGTGGGCTATCCATATAATGGACTATTAGTCAGCCATAAAAAGGAATGAAGCGCCGACACATACTACAACAAAAATGAACCTCCAAAATATCACCTGAATGAAACAAGCCAGACATAAAAGGCCGCACGCTGTGTGATTCCACTGATAGGACACATCCAACGCAAGCAAAGCCACAGACGCAGAAAGCAGGTTAGAGGTTGCCAGGAGGTGGAAGGGGGATAACGGGGAGTGACTGCTTCAGGGTTTGGGGTTTCCTTCTGGAATGATGACAATGCTCTTGAACCAGACCGTGATGATAGTTGTACAACACTGTGAATATACTAAATGTCTCTGAATTGGACACTTTAAAAAGGGTAAAATGGTAAGTTTTATGTTATATGCATTTTATCACAATAAAAAAATTAATACAAAAATTGTTAAGCTAGGACAGTTTTGTAGATTGGAGGATGCTGAAAGAAGAGAATTTTAAAGTGACAATCTTGACAATGGATGGAAAAAGCAACACCACTGGGGAAGCAGAAAAAAATAAAGCCACACTGGAACTTAGGGCTTGTCTTTCTAAATTCTTCTTAAAATTTAGTATAAAAAATTTCAAACACACTCAAATATCGAAAGTATAGTACAACTGATACCCATATACTCATCCTCAGATTCAACAATTATGAAGATTTTTGTAAGAATTTTGAGAGAAGTGGGAAACCCCTGGAGAATGAGCCTTCAAATACAGCCTGCTAAGTTGAGCTGCTATTCCTGCAGAGTCTGGTCGTGTACCAGTGTGTACGGGCCTGTGCATCCTTGTGGGTATATACACTTGGTCTTGTTGAAAATGAATGACTGAATAATGTAAGGACATATCCTATTAAATCATGACAGTCGAACCACTAGGAAAAAGTAGCAAATATTAATGCCAATGTATTTTCTCTCTGATCCAAAAAAAAAGAAAACCTTTTTAGAACTAAAATTATTACCAATTATATAAACAAAAATTGTTATCCAAAATGGTAAGCACTAAAAATAACAGGATGCAAATGTTCTTGTTTAAATATAAGTAACCAAGAATTACAGAGATATCCTCTAGTGCGTTTGGATTTGGAAATGAAATTTTCTGTGTAAGGCAGAAGGATTTCAAAGCTGACGATTAAATCAGTTGTTTTTAACAAATTAGCTAAACGAGTCCAAGTACACACTAACATGATCTAAGGAAGTTAGTCCAAAATACAAGACAGCAGTGAGGCCTGTACCTGTTCTCTGAACTCCTGCTCTTTCAACTTTGAATCACTGATAAGAGCAGTCTTCTGTGCCAGCTGTGCCTGAAATGACAAAAAGTCAGATCTGAAATACACGTGGCTTTCATCATCGTCGAGACACATTTCTGTACTGCTTGGGAAATTCTTGCTAAAATGGTCTCTTTAAGTTAAAACACAGAATGCTCCTGAAAAATACACTGCCTTCAGTCAAATTCAGTGAAGAACCAGTCTTACCTGTAGTTCCATAATTATTACCTGAAAATGAGAGGGGGAAAAAAATCAGTATACATTAAAATCTACAAGTGAACAAACAATAAAATGCAGTAATATGAAATTACAAGGAAATAAGAAATCACAGCTATAGTTTTCAGGCAATGGTCAAATCTGAGATAAGGCAATCTTAAATATTTGCTTTTACGTCTGGTTTATTTTGTTATACAAAATACCCCAGTCTACGCACACAAAGACAGACGGAAGCAAAGGCAAAGGACTGGAAGGTCTTCCACCAGGCTCCCAACAATGGAACCAGGGAAGGGGGATGCCCACGCAGAGGGTAAAGGGAGATTTTCATGTTTTATATTATCTGACTCTTAACAAGAAGAACGTATTTGTGTATTATTTGTGTAATTTTAAAAAATTAAACATTAATGTCTATGTAAAGCACACAGGTCCTGTAGGCATTGCTGAAGCAGTTTCTGGGAAACCTCTCTGAGCTAAAATCAGAACGTGTTTTCCATGCAACCCAGTGCTGGTATGCAATTCAAGACACTCCAGACGCATGAAAAGATGCTCAGGAAGAAACAGGATAGAAATTTATGAAGAATAAAATAGAAAAATATTTCTTAGGGTAGAAATAAAAATTAAGAATATCTTCCCTCTTTTCTAATGATACAAGGACTCAAGACCTTCTGAGAATATTTGAAACATTTCATGGCATCCTGATACAGTTCAAAATGACACTATACGTCACATTCATACTTATTTTGATACTAAGTAACAGCTCATGTTAGACCGTAAAATAAATGTATTTTTGGCATAAACCCACTGCTGTCAAGTTGATTCTGACTCATAGAGCCCTGGGGGCACAGTGGTTAAAACGCTCAGCTGCTAACCAAAAGATTGGCAGTGTGAACCCACCAGCCACTCCATGGGAGAAAGATGTGGCAGTCTGCTGCCGTAAAGACTTACAGCCTTGGAAATCCTGTGGGGCAGGTCTGCTCTGTCCGATAGGGTTGCTATGAGTCAGAAGTCTTCTCATAGAAAGTAATACTTAATAGCATCTGATTCAAGTCATGACCAAATGGGGGGAGGGGAACAAAGTAAAACAACAGAACTTCATGGCTGTTAAAAAAACAGAACGGTCCACTTAGCTAGCTTAGTGCTTACAAATGAGGGATATGTACCAAACGGCACACAGTGTGCGAGATCCATGTTAACTGGCTGTTTAGAAGAAAACCGCTGGCTGGTAACCGGCAGAGTGTAACAAGGCCTCTATAACTCCCAAGGATGAAGGCATGAGCGTGTCCACTGCTTCCTGAGACCCCCCCCCGTGACAGTGCTATGAGGACTACACTGCTTGTGTGAGAACACCTGTGGAGGCAGATGGGCCACAGTAGGGCCCGCGCCCTACGGGTGTGCACTTGGTGGGGTGCACAGCGGAAAAGGAAGCCACGGGGTAAACATGGCTCATCCTTCGGAGCACCAATCTTAATTAAAGACTGGGATTATACAAATGCCTAAATATGCAGCGGCAGCTCACGTCACTCAGCCCAATTTTCCAAAATAATTGCACTGCATCTGCATTTGGCCCATTAACCAAGCAGAAAGGTAGAAGCTGATGTCTTTCTTTATGGTATACAACTTCAAACATCATTTGTATGTGACTACAAGTAAGGATATATTATAGAGAAGAATTTAAAAGTTACATAAATATTTAGCACAAAACATAAAATTCTAAAAATATACTTGCTAGGGACCATTTGTGGGTATGTCTTAGGTTCACTCTCCTCTGCTATTCTTTCCGTGGAAAGGACCAAGAAGCACTGGTGTCAGAGAAATGTCTAGGCTCTGAAGTCTGGCAGATGGGGTTTAAATTCCCATGGCAACACTGTGAGCACTTACACATTTTATTTAACCTCTCTGAACCTTAGTTTCAATGCCTATAAAATGGAAACAAGACTATCTCTCTTGCAAGATTTTTGTTAGGGTTAAATGAAGTAAGTCTGTATGTTAGCAGGTCAAGTAATGAAAATGACAGCGTTTTCAAGGAACGTGTGACGCCAACTCAAGGCCTCTCACTTTATCGCCGCCAGGGTTCTCCTCCTGCTCTTGCCTTTGCTGGTATTTCTTCTGCAGCTCCTCCAGTTGAGTCTGTAGGTCCATGACTTTTGCGGTCATTTCTTCCTCACGAGCCTTTAAGGTAAAAAAAGGGCAACATGTTAATAAATAAACATATCAAAAGAATACTGTAAACAGGGAACACAGTACAGACAAAACTACCTCTGCAGAGGAAGTAAAAGCCTTGTGCGTTTATTGTTTTTATTTTAATTCAGTCCTGTGACTGAATTCAGACACTTTCCTGCATGTCACAATTTTAATTTAATGCTATAGACTATTCCCAGGATTTCACTTTTCCCAACCCACAAAAGTAACCAAGCAGTTTCCTTCCTTTAAACAAGGATTCTCAGGTTTAAGCAACAATTTGGTATAGATTAGTGTCGTGACAATATAGAACCTGTATTTAACGACTTTGGCCTTTTCTATCTTGGGATCTGATTTCCAGAAAACATGCATTAAAATAGACTAGTGGGTATTTTTATACACAGCACTGCTCAATCAGCTGGTAACTCACTGCTCATGGGAAGATGTGGAATTTTTTTTTCGGGGGGGGAGATGGGCTGTATAAATCAAGGGGTGGTTCTTAGTCCTAGTTCAGCAAACCTGCGCCTCTCCTATACATCTGCCTCAAAACCACACCAGAGGTTCTTTGACGTAAAATGTTGAACTAAAATCTATTTTTTAAAAAATTATTAGTTACTGTCCAATGAGTCTGGTAACCACTGTAATTTCTCCATTTGCCCTGAACTTTGCAAAAACAGACAAGGCTGCATTAGAAAAAACAGTATGTGACTTACTGGTCCGACGATCCTATAAAATTTGGCATGCAAATCTGTTCTGTTTTGATCACCCTGCTAAGATGTTGCTGCCTGTCCTTATATCCCCTTATGCTTCGTCGTGGCAGTCGCCATGTTTTATTATACAGGAGACTCAGCCTCTCCTCGCTCTCACAAATCTTGTAATAACCTTTGTGCCAAAAGAACACTTGGAACTGGAGTACTGATCAGATTTGAGCAATGAAGATGACTGTTTGCTGAATAAGAGACTTGGGAAAAGCAACTATCAACAGGTATCTGATGCTGACCTGCCTGAACAACAACAAAAAATACATATAGTTCTCAAAAGCGAACAGATGGTTAGGCCCCATGGCACAAAATAAGGCAATGAACCATGGGACACTTGGAAAACCTAATTTTAAATACCACTGTCATGAAACGTTCTTAGACAAATTGAAAAAGAACAAACCCCTCCGAACATATCAAAGCAGAGATCTCTTGTAACTAGGCTCCTGAGACATCTCCCCAGTGAGGGACACATTAACCTGGTCTCCACCCCCTACAATGCCATCGACAAGCAATCGCAAATACGTTACTGCCCTCAGTCTTGCTTTACTGTTTTTATTCAACCCCGGCATTTCCTGTGTGGGTGTCTGTGTCACCGTGGTCTGGCCTCATTTGAAAGGACTATCCTCTATGTCTCTTCGTTCAGGTAGGCCCCTATGCGTAACATGACAATCAGCTGTGCTGGACATAGCCTCTGACAGCTGGCTGATACCACTCTAACGCAAGCCTTCTAAGAATCACAAAGACTCCTTAATGTGTTATTTCTAATGTAAGAAGAATTCCTACAGTTTTCTTTGTAAAAAGCTTTCTGGTCTTCTTCAAAAACACAACAGTACTGCTTGCTTTGAAGTAAGAACAATAAGAAAAGAAAAACTAGTTAAGTTGGATCTTTATGCATGGAAATTATGTTTAGAAGACCAGTTATCATGCCCAAACCAAATCACGAAACTACAGTGTTAACAAGAAACCAGTTTTGCATCTAACAGAGCTTCAGAAGCTCCTTCCTCCCAGTGAGATTGCTCCGAGGTTGGGACTAGGTCATCAGGCAAGCTGCCTTCCTCGTGAATACAGCTAGTTCCCACCTTCGACGTATATGAGTTACAACAAACCACACTTATGGCCGTCTGTTCTCCTTTTTTGGATATCTTTCTGTTAGTAACAGGTACTACATGCAATCTTGCAGCATGTAATCTGCTGATGTTATCATTCTCAGATGTTCACTCACAGATGTCAAAGATTGGATATATAAAGATACTGTTAATAAAAGGTTATAATAATGAAAACCAAAAAAAAAAAGAGGTTTTCGACTTATGTCAGAACCAACTTACAACAGAGTTGTTAGAATGGAATCCCACTGTAAGTCAGGGACTACCTGTACTCAATCCCTCCTTTGAGTTGCTACCATTCTCTCTTCCCAAATGAATTCTTCTCTGACCTCCATGTGTCACCCGGGTGTCCAGTATGCGGCACGAGTTGGGTTAGGCCCTAGAGACTAGAAAGATGAACAACAAAATCCCTGCCCATAAGATGTTGACAGCCTAGGGCAGAGGACAGATACTTCAATACATACATACACACAGATGTGGGTACATGACAAAAATTACATGTTATAAGTAACAGAAATACTGATGAGTACCAAGAGAACACAGATGCAATTAATTCTACTTAAGATATTACAAAAAACTACAAATATGATGCAGAAAAGTATATTCAGAAAGCTATCTTTGGAATAGGAAAAGAAGAAAAATAAGAATAGATCTCATTCTTATTTCTGCTTGTGTAAGTAAACATTAAAACATTATATAAGAAACTAACAGTTACCTGTGGAGGGAGAAGAGGGATGGGACACAGAACAGAGGAGAAGGATGGGGTACAATTTCCACTGCATACCATTCTCCAAGTATGCCTTTTTACATGATTTTGCTCTTTGAACCACGTGAATACATTTGATTCAGTTTTTTTTTTTCTAAATAAAAGTTATTTTTATAAAACGCCAAGAGAGAGGGTAACACCTGCATTAGTCCATGAAGTATGAGAACGTGATCTCTAGGCAGGTGGAAAAGCATGCACAGAGGAAACATTTCGTGAAGAACAAGCTAAGGCTGAGTTTGGCTAGAACCCAGACCGCATCAGAGGAGGGATCACTGGGACAATGGGAAGCCACTGGAGGTATTCTGAAGAAGAGATATGATCACATCTTTGTTTCAAGATAGAAAATAACTGTGAGAGGAGGAGAATGCATGTGCTGGGGAAAAAAGACCAGGGCGAAGAGATCAAGAAAGAAATTAATACACCAGACCAGACCAGACGAGAGACACAAGATGGCAGCACAAACCGCAGCAATAGCAAAGAGGAACGTGCCACACGGGTCGACGGAAAACCACGTCCTGGGAGCCCGCTATACGTTGGATGTTTTGCTGGGGATATACCATGAAAAGAAGGTGATTTCTCTGCTTAGTAATGCAGGGGCGATAAGCAGATTTCACGTCCTAACAGGTGTGCTGATGTGTATGTGTGAGGTTTGAGGGAGGTAGGAGGTGGCAATCAGGATGATAAAGGTCCCCAGCTTCTGCAAATGGGGGAATGGTAAAAATATTATCTAGGACAGGAAAATGAAAAAGTATGTAGGCTCATAGTTATTAGTAACAAATTACAGAATTATTTTAAAGGATGACAAAGACACAGCATTCTAAGATGCCATCATTAAGACAAATCATCAATCTGATAACAGCTTTTGCAGATGAGGGAGGGGAAAAAACTGTATAATACCTACAAGCTCCATATAAGACTCCAATTTCAGAAACTTTAAACTGGAAACATGGTATAGAGTATGTCTCAGAATCAAAGTAATATGGTGTTTGCTGAGAATTGCTAACATCACTTTGTAGTAAAAAGAAATTCAAGACAGAGTGTGTACCCGGGGTGTTTAGATGGGGGCCACCTACTTCCTTACAAAGCCAGCCCTAGTCCTACCAGTTAAGAGTCTAAGGCCCTACTATCCACGACAGCAGCCACTGGCTACCCTGAAATGTGCTGAGTGTAAATACACACTAAATTTCAAATACCCCCCAGAAAGTAAAATACCTCAATAACTTTTACAACCATTACGTGTTGAAGTATGTCTATGGGTATACTGGATTAAATAAAATATACTATTAAAACGTCATGCTTAGCACCTTCTCTTTTTTGAATGTGTCTACTAGAATATTTAAAACTGCTTCTGTGGCTCACGTTTGTTACTTGCCACTCATTACGCAGTTCCAGGAAGATCAATTAACTGTACTGAACAGGTTTTTCCTTCTGCAAACAACAAAGAAGGTGGCACTAAACTAGCTTTAATGTATCTTCCAATTCCCACATTCTCTAAGCATTAAAGAAATAAAATTATTTTTTTAAAACGTAGGACATATATACTACATGAAAACATAAGAAAATATAAAACTATGTATATTTTACATTTTATTAAAATTATTTAAATTTTCTTTTCATAATGAGAATTAAACTCAAAAATGATACAAACGGCTGAGGCTGCTTACGTACAACCAAACACCTCATGGGATTTGGTTCCTTGGGTTGGAGGTCTAGGGTCGTGGTTTCATGGGACATCCCAGTTAACTGGCCTCATAACAAGTTCAGTGCTTCCGTTCTACCTCCTAGTTCACTGTGTAGCGCCTAGGGTCTTAAAAACTGGCGAGCAGCCATCCAAGGCACAACAATTGCTCTCTCTTCACAGGGATCACAACAGAGGGTCCTGGACAGAGCCAGAGAAAAATGTAGAACAAAATTCTAACTCACAAAAGAAGATTAGACTTACTGGCCTGACAGAGACTGGAGAAACCCCGAGAGTATGGCCCCCGAACACCCTTTTAGCTCAGTGATGAAGTCACTCCTGAGGCAACGACTAGAAGGCAGGAGGGGACAGGAAAGCTGGTAACAGGGAACCCAAGGTCGAGAAGGGAGAGCGCTGACATGTCATACAGTTGGTAACCAATGTCACAGAACAGTATGTGTACTTAATGTTTAATCAGAAGCTAGTTCCTTCCGTAAACCTTCCTCTAAAGGACAAGAATAAAAATATATACGTACTAAAAACAAAACAAAACATGATTTTCCAACGGACAGTGGTGACGGTTGCACACCATGACTCATGTACTTAATGTCACTGAATTGTACATGCAGAAAATGTTGAGATGGCAAATGTTTTATTATATACATACAGTTGTTTTTGTTGTGTGCCCACTGAGTCAATTCTTACTCATAGTGACCCTATATGACAGAACAGAACCGCTGCATTTGGTTTCAAAACAAACAAAGTGAAACAACTGATCTCTCTTCACCTGGAACAACAGAGGAAGGAGAGTCAGGAATAGGAGTAGGAAATGGAATGTGTGGCTGACTGCCTCCATGAACGACTGCCTCCTCTGCCCTGAGACCAGAAGAAATGGATGGAGCCTAGCTACCATTACTGAACATTTTGATCAAAGACTCTATAGAAGAACCCTGATCAAAAGCAGGGAAATGCAGAACAGAATTTCAAATTCCCATGGAATCCAGACCTCCTGGAGTCATGGAGCTGGATGAACCCCTGAAACTACTGCCCTAAGATAATCTTTAAACCTTAAACCAAAATATCCCCTGAAGTCTTCTTAACAACCAACAATAGTTTAGCTTAACTAGTAAAGAATGTCTACCTTGAGCATTACGCTCTTTAAAGATCTATCTATATGGAATCAAATGTACAACAGCAACTCGAAAGGTTAGAAAGGAACCTTAGGTGTCAGTGAGTTTATGTGAATGGGGAGCAGCAACTCAGAAAAGGAGGGAGTGAGTGGCTGCACAGCTCGAAGAATGTAATCAATGTCACCAAACTGTACATGTAGAAATTGAACTGGCGTACGTTTTTTGCTGTGTATATTCTCAACAACAACAACAACAAAATAAAAGATTTTTTTTTTTTAAATGATACAAAGGTGGTATTTATCATATTTTGGAATTTCATGTGTCATATCCTGGAATTTCTGCTGTTTCAATTACATTAGAAACAATTATTACTAGAAACTGTTCCTGGCCCAGACTTCCGCTGCTGCCATAGTGAGTTGAGGCATGATTCTCTGATTTATACATTCTTAATCATCAAATGGTCCTTGGCATACAGTGAACTAAGGAGTAACTAAAAAATCTGCAATCTAACCAAGAAATTACATGGTTTTACATTTGAAAATGTTCTCATTAGCACCCATGACTTATCTTCACATATAAAAATGACAGTCCTAATCCACCATCAGTAAAACAAATGCTCTGAGCTAGTATTCCACCGAATATAGATTTGGCTGATGCATTCCACTTTTTTCCTCCCTTGAAACCAACAAAAACCATCTGCAAATTGGGTAGGGATGGAGTAAAGTCAAAAGTTAACTGGTACTCCCTGGAAGACCCCAGCTGAGCTATGCAGCCACACTCAAGCACACACCAACTGCCCTGTTACTTAGATGTCAGCCATGCACAGGCTCTCTTAGTCTGGGTCTCCTACAAGTCAGTGTGAATCTGTGAGGAAGACAGAGAAGAGAATCTCATCTCCCCTTAATGGCTCACTGTTGTTTCAATACCAGCAAGCAGACTGTATTACCTGCTTAGCAGAATCTGATCAGGAAGCCACAATCCTGGCAGAAATCAATAAGGCTCTTTATAAACCCTGCATATAGTGCAGAAGTACTAATTTGAACAATACTGAACCCAAAAAACCCTCCATATTAGAAAAACAGGGAATTTGATGGCCCAATCTTTTTCAGTTCTACCATGAAATCTATTACGGCTAAGTTAAAAAAAGAGAGAGAGAGAAAAAAAAAGGTACATCAAGGATTTCTTCATATCTTTTGGCTGTTCTTTTTAAGTCATCTTCTTTCTCTGCAATCTTTTTATGTAACTGATTCGTCTCTTCTCGATGGCTCTCCAGAAGTTCAGCCTCCACCTCCTGGGCCTTATCTGCGAATAAATAACGAGCATACACGAGACAACACATTAGGCGAGAGCAGTATCTGTGTCCCAATTTCAGTACCAACCCTCATTCCCAATTAATTCCGATAAAAATCAATCTTATATAAGCATTCCAAAATGCTTAACGAGGCATCCAGGCCAACAGCGGGTGATCAAATGTACCCTTCCACAGGGCAGAAGAGCCTTTACAAAGTAATCAATTAACGTTGTCAGTTTCTTTGACCTGTCCCCCTCTGTTTAAGGCAAGTCACAGTCAGGCGGCCCTGGCTCCCCATTAGGGACCTTTCTTGAGAGAGAATACCTTTTCTTCCAGTTTAATTACATAAAGCACTTAGCACAAGCATGAAAAGAACAGACTTAAATTATAAACAGCTCCTGCTGAATCTGATTTGTTCCTTATTGACTCTGAAACTTGACTCACTGATGGTTTCCTTGACGGTTGTCTCCAGCTCCTGCTCCTTCTGTGCCAGCTGTGTGTTAAACTCCCTCATCAACTGTTTTAACATGGAATTGTGCTTCAACTCAAGATCTTCCTGCTCCTGTCTGAGCGACAGAACAACAGTCAACTGCTGCCATACAGACAACAAGCTGCAAGGTTACCTGGTCTTCAAAACGGTACATAATCTGATCTCACTGGTATAAAAAAGTTTTCAGGGCGTATGTGTACGTGTATGCATGTCTGTGTGTGTCCGGTCACAGAGAACTTCTGGAAGGATGCATAAACTGCAATTACCTCTCGGGAGCAGTCCTGGGGACTGGGGGACTCTTCCTTTCCACTTTCAAACTTTCACTATATGCATTTATGTTATATAATAATAATGCTAGTAATAAAAATGATTTCAAAAAAGAAAATAATTACTTGGATATATATCTAATGACATGATCTTGCATGCAAGAGAAGGTTATCCCCCCTATGGTCGTGGAGTAACGTTTTCTATTGGGTAGAGCTGAGCAGGTGGGGCTTAAAATAACTGTATTAGGGCACAAACAAAGGGGGGGGAGGGGCTCATTAAAGAGGACTGCCTTAAAAGTATTCATGCTGAAATAAAACTTACTTGATTTTCTCTTCAATTTCTTGTTCGCATTCTTTCTTTACTAGCTCCAATTCTTGCTGATGCTCCTTCCGTAACATTCGAAGGTCTTTCTGCAATCTAGCAACCTCCTTGCCCAGCCTCTGCTTCTCCCGCTCTGCCCCTGTTAATTTAAATTCCAGGTCATTGTGCTGGGCCTCCATGTTACCAAGCAATTTGGGTTGGGCCATATGTGATTTTGACTTTTTTTCAGCACTTTCTTCCAGAACTTCTGTGGGTTTATTTTTTCCATCCAACTGTTCTTGTAAAGCCCGTAATTTTTCATATTTTGAGGTCAACTCTTCCATTTCAACTCTATGTACTTCCTTCTCTCTTACTAAGCAGGAATCCAGCTCTATTATCTTTTGCTCCAAGATCTGACAGGTTAGTTCCTTCTCCTGGAGGGTTTTCTGGACATCGTCAACCGCGTTTTCCAAGGTTTGCTTTGCCCCTGTGCTGTTTTCCCCTCCTTCTTCTCCCAACTGCTGGGACACTATCAAGGAAGATGTCCTGTTTCTTTCTTCCAGTTCCTCTTTAAGACTACTGATCATAACTTGATCCTCACGTTGCTTTGTTTCAGCATGCTCTAACTTTATTAAGAGCTCCTGGTATTTGCACTGCATTTCAGAAGAAGAAGAAAGTGTCTCTTCTTTTTCCTGCTCTAGTCTCTGTAACAGCTTCTCTTTCTCAGTCAAATTTCTTTGTAAAACACTGATGTTTTCTTCATACGCCTTCTGCACACAGCCTTGGGAATCTGCTTCTTCTTGAGCGGTACATACTGACACATTTTTTGCTGATCTGGGTACAACTGATGTTTCTGGTTGTGGTGAACTTTCTACTGACTTAAGTTTTTCTTCCAAGATGAGAACTTCCCTCTCTCTTTCCTGCAATTTCATATTTAGCTCACTGAAGTGGCTCTCTCTGTCTTTTTTATATTGCTGTTCCTTGTCTTCCATTTGCGATAACAACTGCTTCTTAATGGCAGCAATTTTCTGTTCAGCTTTTCTCTTCAGTTCTGCTAACTTTGCAGCACTTTCTAACTCCAGTCTATCTTCCAATGCCTTTAACTCCTCTTCTTTGCTTTTCACACTTGAACTCACATGTTCCAATTCTTTTTTCTTAGTTTCAAGTTCAGATTTCATGGACGACACTTCTTTTTCAAGTCTTAAGGCTTTTTCTTCAGCTTCTATAACCCTGTTGTCCTTTTCTTCTCCTAACTCTTGAATGTGTTGAAGTTTCTGAACCAGTTCTTTCTGTTCAATATCTTTTTGTTGATTGTAATTTTTAAGGACTTCGTGTAAGGATTCAATTTCAGCTATTTTCTGAGTAACATGTTCCTCTAACTCCACAATTCTTGCTGTTTGAGTTTTTAACTCAGTCTCTAAATTACATTTCTTTTTCTCCATCTTGCTTTTCTCATCTTCCATTTCACCCTTTAAACATTCAAATCTTTTATTTTGCTGACCAAGCTCTTCCTTCAATAAATTTATCTGCTCATCCTGTTCACTAGCTTCCTTCGTTTTTAACTCAAGCTGCAGCTGCAACTCTTTAATAGTATTCTGACTCTGTGTAAACCTTGACTGTGTTTTCTTCATCCATTCTGAGAATTTGGTGGACAGGTGATCCACCTGCTCAAGAGCAGACATTTTCTCTTTACTCAAAGTGTCAACTTTCAAAGATAAATCCTGCACCTGCTCCAGCAATCCCCGCTGTTCTTCTTCGTGTCGCTTACTTAGCGATGAAACGGCTGCGTCTTTTTCTGTCATGCTAACGCTATTCTGAAGCTGATCGTTCAGGTCGGTTAGTTGTTTATTAAGATTGCTGATCTCAGATTTTTTTTCTTTCAGCTCTTCTTTCATCAGTGTGACAGCATTGATGTTTTCAGATAACTCTTTCCTCAGCTGTGTGATACAAGACTCCTTTTCAGAGGCAGCCTGCTGCTGACTGCCTCCTTCCTTCTGTAAGGCTTCTTTTTCTGTTACAAGACCTTCAATGTCAGCCTTCATGCTCTTAATTTGATCTTCTTTTTCTTCTAACTGACGGGTAGCCTGTTGAAAAGAATTGTTTAGTGTATTTTGCTCTTCTGTTAGCTGTCTAAGTCGTGCTTCTAATTCAGAAACTTTGCAGGTTTGAATTAACAGTGTCTCCTTAACTTTAGTTGTGTGGAGTTGACAATGGGAAATTCTAGAAAGAATGACGTTAATTTTGCTGTTACTAATGTTGACTAGCTCATCTGTTTTAACTTGTAATAAGGCTTCAGTCTTCTTACAGTAAAGATCTAGCTGTGTTGCGAGTTCCTCAGACAGTTTCTTGAATTCCAAGCTTTTGTCCTCTAGGCTTTTCTTACTTTTGTCATGTGAAGATTTCAAACTCTGGAATTCATCATCAGTGGCCTTCAACTTGTCAGTCAACTCAGAAACCTTAAGTTTATCTTGTTCTGACAGTGTCTTCAGTTTTGTTAGCTGCTCTTGAAGGAAAGTATTCTCCTTCAGAGAATGATTCAGGTCAACCTCCAGCTTTTCAAGTTGTGCTTTCAGCGTATTCTCATTTTGTAAGAGAGAATTCAAACGAACAGACTTCTGCTTTAACTGTTCCTGTAATTCATTGAATCCTGTATCCTGCTTAACACCTTCTTCCTTCAGCCACACTATTTCCTTGTTCATCTCTTCTTTTTCACACCCCAATATGAGGATCTTTTGTTTCAGTTCTGTCACCTCTTGTTCTTTTTCCTGTAACTGAATTTCATGTTTTTCCTGAAGTTCTTCAGCTTGCTGATTAAGTTTCTTTTCCCAGATTAATACGACATCACTGAGTTTTCGCTGGTGCACCTCAGTAAGACTTTCTATTTGCTCCTTCTGATTCATTTCCAGTCTTGATACCGCATCATTGATTCCAGCTGAGTTAGCCTGTGCCATTTCCAAGATTTTAGCATTGAACTGTTTTTCTTTCTGACTAAGCTCTAGAACAGTATTTTCAAGCTCCTTTTTAAGTTTGGCTTCCTGATCCAACAACTTCTTCTTTAACATTTCCTGCATCTCCTTTGCTTTCTGCTTAATTTTTTCCATCTTTTTTTCTTGGTTTTTAAATTTGGTTTCATATTCCTCATGCAAAATACCAATACTGTCCTCCTTGGCTGACAGTTTCTGTTTGAGTATCTCAATTTCTTTGCTCTGTCCTTCTCTCATTTGTAAAATTAAATTTTCCTTTTCCATCAAGATTTGCTTTGTCTGTTCCTGCTCTATGTTATTATCTTGAAGTCTGGACTCATAGAGTTGGGTTAGAGATTTTACTTTTTGCTCCATTTCACTATTCTGCTTTTCAAGTTGCTGTGTTAAGTCCTGCACCTGGACTTTGTGAGTGTCTAACTCAGTACTAACATCTTTCTTTTGTATTTCAACTTCAGCCACCTGTTTGGTAAGAAGAAGTCTTTCTGCTTCTAAATCCAACAATTTTTGCTGCAATTGGGCCAACTGTTCCTCGTAAGCTTTTGCCTGCTCATGTGAGGTACTTTGATATGAGTGAAAAAGATCCAGCTTAGCAGAAGTCTGCTGGAGTTGCCCTTCAGACCTTTGGATATCTGCCTCTAAATTCTCCACACGAACCTGATGCTCTTTTAAATGCTGGTCCTTTTCCTTTAGAAGAAGCCCAAGTTGATTAATTTCATCTTTTAATGCCTTCTCCGTTCTTTGGATAGACATCTCTTGCTCTTTAATGATACTGTCAATTTGTTGCTGATGATGATTTTTCTGTTCATCCAGCCTGGCCTCTAATTCCTGCTTCACTTCATCTGCTTGATCCTTTAGTGCAGAAAGTTCTTCTTCTAGATTGTGGCGGGCTTTTAATACTTCAGACAGCTCAGAAGATAACGATTCCAGTTCTGTTTGCTTTACATCAAGCTTCTCTAAAGTCTTTTCATTCATCTCTTCTATGTGGGCCTGGAAGAGACTCTCCTTGTCTTTCAACAGTGCTTCCTTTTCTTGTTCACACTTTTGTCTAAGTTTTTCCATTGCTGCCTGATGCTGGTGCTTTAAGACTTGGAGTTTTTCAGTCCAAAGGTTATCCTGCTGTTGCTGCAGACTTTCCAATTCTGTCTTGTGTTTTTCAACCATGATAGTGATTTCTTTATTGTGCTTATTTTTTTCAGCTTCCAAATGGATAGCTAAATCTTCTGATTGTTTTTTACCTTCTTGTAAGCTTTTTTCCAAGGAACTTTCCAATTCAAGAATTCTCTGTTAATAAAAACAAATATATTGTTATTAAAATACATACTTGTTTATTAACAATGACATACATGACATGATGTCTACCACCTATTTAAAGATTAAAATTCAGATAAATAACTCTACATATCACACCGAACATTAGAAAGGACAAAAAATATTTCGTGTTAAATTCATAAAGGAATCACACAGCAAAGACATGAAAAGAACCCAATGCATAATTTGATTCTTTCTACATATTTGGGTAACTATTTCAATTACCTGTATTTTTAAGAATATTCTAAATGTGGTGGATAACGCTGATTGATTTTCTAATGTTGAACCATCCTTGCATACCTGGTATGAATCCCACTTGGTCATGGTGTATTATTTTGTTGATATATGGTTGGATTTTATTGGCTAGGATTTTGTTGAGAATTTTTGCGTTTATATTCATGAGGGATATTGGTCTGTAAGTTTCCTTTTTAGTGGTGTCTTTGCCTGACTTTGGCATCAGGGTTATGCTTACTTCATAGAATTTGGGAGTATTCCATCCTTTTCCATGTCCTGGAATAGTTTGAGTACAATTGACGTCAACTCTTTTCTGAAATGTTTGGTAGAGTTCTCCAGTGAAGTCATCTGGGCCAGGGCTTATTTTTCGTTGAGAGTTTTTTTGATGACCTCTTCGATTTTTTCTTTTGTTACAGGTCAGTTCAAATTTTCTAACTCAGTTTGTGTTAGTTTAGGTAGCGAGTGCATTTCTAGAAATTTGCCCATTTCTTCTAGGTTTTCAAATTTGTTGGAGTACAGTTCTTCATAGTATTCTGTTATCATTCTTTCTATTTCAGTTGGTTCTGCTGTAACATCATCCATCTTGTTTCTTATTTGTGTTGTTTGCATCTTCTCCTTCTTTTTATTTGTCATTTTGGCCAGTGGTCTGTCAATTTTATTAATCCTTTCAAAGAACCAACTTCTAGTCTTATTGATTCATTCTACTGTTTTTCTGTTTCATTAATTTCTGCTCTAATCTTTATTGTTTCCTTTCTTCTGGTGACTGTGGGCTTTTTTTTTTTTTTTTTTTTTTTTTTGCTGCTCTTTTTCTATTTGTTGGATGTTTTGATTTTGACTCTTTTTTGATGTGTATATTTATTACCATAAATTGACCTCTGAGTACTGCTTTTGCTGTGTCCAATAGGTTTTGGTATGCTGTGTTTTCATTCTCATTTGATTCTAGGAATTTTATTCCTTCTACTACCCAGTGGTTTTTAAGCAGGATGTTATTCAGTTTCCATGTATTTAATTTTTTTTCCCTTGGTCTTCCTGTTAATTGATTTCTAATTTTACAGCGTTGTGATCTGAGAAGAAGCCTGGTATTATTTCAATATTTTTGAATTTATTGAGACTTGCTTTGTGGCCTAACATGTGGTCTATTCTGGAGAATGATCCACGTGCGCTGGAAAAGAATGTGTACTATGCTATTGTTGGGTGGAGTGTTCTGTGTATGTCTACAAGATCAAGTTGGTCGATTCTGTTGATTAGATCTTCTTTCTGTATCTTTGTTGAGTTTCTTTCTAGTTCTGTCCTTCGTCGAAAGTGATGTGTTGAAGTCTCCTATCATTACTGTGGAACTGTCTATTTCTCTTTTCAATTCTGTTATGTATTCTGGAGCTCTTTCATTGGGTGCGTAAATATTTATCACGGTTATGTCCTCTTGTTGGATTCACCCTTTAATTCTTATATAATGCCCCTCCTTGTCTCTTATGCTGGTTTCTGCCTTAAAGTTTAGTTTATCAGAGATTAATATTGCCACTCTTGTTCTTTTTTGGTTGCCATTTGCTTGACATATTTTTTTGTCATCCTTTGAAATTTACCTTATTTTTATCTTTGTGTCTAAGGTGTGTCTCTTATAGGCAGCACAATTTATGTTTTTTATGTTTTTTTATGTTTTCTTATCCATTCTGCCACTCTCTGTCTCTTGACTGGTGCATTTAATCCATTTACATTCAATGTTAATCACCGTTAGGTATGGGTTTATCACTGTCATTTTGTTGTGCCTTTTTTTGTGGTGTTGATGATTTCTTCGTTCCGTATACTTTTCTGTGCTAGTTCTTTTGTTTATGGATTTTCATTTCCTTTGTTGCTGTTGATTTTGTCTTTACTGAGTCTTTATGATTTTCTTCTTCTATATTTTGGTGAGAAGGTTTATTAGTTTTCTTTGCGGTTACCCTGAAATTTACTTTTCTCTAAGTTTAAAAGAGTGTTACATCTGGATATCAGCTTTTTATTTTATTTTATTATTTTCCAAAAGTACTTTTTTTATTTATATAGAGTTCTAACTACTTCAGGGGTAGGAGGAGTGGGAGAGGTTCCCTTTTCAATCCAGTGGCCTCCATAATGTGGGTTTGTTTTTACCAAACACATTGGCAAGTGGCATCATGGATTTGGTAATCATACTATTTAGTCTCTCTCTGCTAGACCGATGAGGTGGGCGTCAATCTCTGCTTCTGTAAGAATCCTGAATTTAGGATTTTCAACTATAACTACTCCAACTTCAGTTTCGGAAGGTTTGAAGTCAACTGATAGCACAGCAGACAAGCATGTAATTGCAGTTTCAACTGTCTGTTCAAATGTCCAATCAAATTTCTTCACTTTTTTTTTCAAGGAAGCTGGTTGACTCAGTTTGTTTAACTCCTGCTACAGTTGTTTTCAGCCCACAGTATAACCTGCAGGATCACACTTGTACAACTGAGGGCCTTGTTCTTTGTCTATACCAGTCAAGATCATACAACAATCAAGAGGCCTCCTTTCAGCATTTTGTGTGTAGACCTGAGAAATAACTGCAATTCTTTTACACAGCATGTCCCCAGGAATCTCACAGCCATACTTGTATTTCCAATTAACTGCCTCATAGAGAGACCTCTGTACCTGGGATCTGCTGTCAGCAGTCATTCCTGTCATCACACAGTCAATGTTTTCAGTTATCTTGAATAAGTGAGTCACTGTGCTGGAATCCAATAATTTGTCAGGTACATTCTTCTGTGTGACAATTACGGCAAAATCTTTCCCTCTGACAGCTACTGATGTAAGGCACCCTGGTTAATAGCCTTAAAAGCATATTCTACTTGGTAGAGGTGGCCTTCGGGTGAAAAAATGGAAATGTGTGGTCAAAACCAATGCTGGAACAATGGGACATGTTGATATACCCACTACTTCAAGAACAGTCTCCAGGCCCCGCCACCTTTTTATTTTAAAGTTGTCATCGTTTAAAGATTGATGTCTCTGGTTCTGTTTTCAGTCTTATAGCTAAATTTTATTTTTGAAAATTCTTTATCGTAGTTGATATCCAGATGATGTTGTCATGTGTCTTAACCTCAGGTTGTTCCTGACATTGCTGGTTCTGTCCAAAGGACTCCTTTTAGTATTTCATGTAAGTTTAGTCTGGTTTTTACAAATTCCTTTAGTTTCTGTTTATCTGGAAATGTCTTAATTTTGCCATCATATTTGAGAGACAATTTCACTGGATATATAATTCTTGATTGGCAATTTTTTTCTTTCAGGTTTTTATATATGTCACCCCGTTACCTTCTTGCCTGCATGGTTTCTGCTCAGAAATTAGAGCTTAGTCTTACAGGTTCCCTTTTGCAGGTAATATTTCATTTTTCCTGGGCTGCTCTCAGGATTGTTTCTTTGTCTTTGGTTTTGAAAAGTTTGATTATGATATGTCTTCGTGATTTTTTGGGGGGGTTTAACCTATGCATGATTTGTTCGGCTTCTTGCATGGGTATCTTCTCATCTTTCATGATATTAGGGAAGTTTTCTGCCAGCAAATCTTTAAAGATTTTGTGGGTTTTTTTTTTTTGGGGGGGGGTCTCTTCCTGTTTAGGAATTACGATCATGTGTAAATTATTCCTCTTGATAGTGTCCCACAGGACTCTTAAGCTTTCTTCAGTCTTTTTTCTGATTGTTCCTCTAACAGACTGATATCAAGGAATTTGTCCTCTATTTCGGTGATTCTGTCTTCCACTGATTCAATTTTACTCCTTTGTCTTTCTAATGCGTTATCTATTTCTAAAATTTTAGTGTTAATATTCTGGATATCTAGTTGCCGTTTTTGTATGGTTTCTAAGTGCCTATTCATTTTGTCATTTTGTCCTTATATTGTTTTCCTGAATTCTTCTAGAGTTTTGTCTGTGTTTTCCTTGGTTTTGTCTACGTTCTCCTTGATCTCTTCCAGGATCCTATATAGAAGTCTCTGAATTCCTTATCAGGTAGTTCAATTACCATTTCTGCCTCAGGAAGGTTTTCTGGCTCTTTATTTTAGTCACTTGCTTGAGGCATCTTGTGCTGTTTCTTAATAGAATTTGGTATTGTCTGTTGTCTTTGAGACATTAAGGAGTTATTGTATTTATTTAATGATTGTATGTTTGTTTGCTTTGTTCTGATTTTTTGTTTTGTTTTGTTACATCCAGGCTAGCAGAGCTTGTGTGGTTTGCTGGTATCAGGACTGGCAGCACTGTATGTGCTTGCCATCTCTCTCTGGGTGAGTGGGGTAGTGGTTGTGAGTGCCAGTCTCAGTTCGCTGGCTATGCTGGGCAGCTGTCGGCAGTCTAGGATGGTGTCAGCTGCCGTCTGTCATCTGTCCAGTGGCATGGGAGCGGGAATTTGCACTTGTTGAGTGGATAGGGCTGCAGGTGTGGTGGATGTGGCGGTACAGTAGACACACAGTTGTCCTTGATCACTGGGAAAGGACGGAGAGAGTCGGGGTGGGGAGGTTGGGTGGAAGGTGTGTGAGCAGGGGGCGCTCAGTCACCAACGTTCGACTGGTTGGAGGTGGCCGGTGCTGTGCCAGAGTGGTCTGTTACAGCCCGGTGTGGTCGGTGGGTGGAAGGGGTGGGGCGAACAGGCAGTGCCAAGCCAGTATGGCCTGCTGTCGCCCAATGGGGTCAGCAGATGCAAGGGACGTGGCGAGCAATGGGTGCCACAATAGAATGGTTTGCTGCCACCTGGTGAGGCTGGCGGGCCGGAGGGGCTGGGTGAGTGGTCGGCACTGCATGGGAGTGACCTGCTGTGCATCAGTGGGCAGGGGGTGGCACTGCGGGGATAGGGCGACCATCAGGGCTGGATAGGGGAGGGGGGGACTCATACCATTATCCCCAGTGGTCCGGGCTGCAAGGATTCAGTGCGGGGGGTTGTGCCACTAATCACCAGGAAGATATGGGGAGGGGAGAAGGAGAGTGCTCTTCTGGTCAATGGGCGAGGGTGCCTAGGCTCTTCCTGTTGGCTCCAGTCAGCAATCAGGACCTTATTTCACTCTGGGCATCTACACAGTTACTGTGTCCTGTTGGGAATTCTGTGAAGTTGCCTTGTGTGCTCCTCACCCGGGATTACTGCTGCCTTTGTCTCAAGATGAGTGCACTGTGCCAGGATGGCTGGCAAGGCACCTCTGTTCCGTTTCTTCTCTTTTGCTGCTTCAGTCTATTTCTCCTTCCAATTGGTGTCTGATCTAGTTCTTTACGCCTTCCTTTGATGCTCAGGGTTCCAGGATTGTCACCTGTGTTTGTTTCATGTGGTTTCTTGGTCTCTGCTGTAGAGGGATGGTGTGGTGTGTCTGACTAAGCCGCCATTTTGGCCAGACTTCCTGGATCCATAAAGGTTGGATGAACTTCTGAAACTATTGCATAATCTTTAAACCTTAAACAAAAAATATCCCCTGAAATCTTCTTAAAAACCAACAAAAGTTTAGCTTAACTAGTAAAAAATGTCTGCCTTTAGCATTATGCACTTTTAAGAAGAACTATGTATATGAGATCAGAGGAGCCCGGGTGGTGCAGAGGTTAAGAACTCAGCTGCTAACCAAAAGGTGGGCAGTTCGAATCCACCAGCTGCTCCTTGGAAACCCTATGGGGCAGTTCTACTCTGTCCTATAAGGTCACTATGAGTTGGAATCAACTCGACAGCATGGGTTTGGTTTGGTTTTATATGAGATCAAATTGACAACAGCAACTTGAAAGATTAGATAGGAATCTTAGAGGGCAGTGAGTTTATGTTAATGGAAGAAGAACAACACAGAAAAGGAGGGTGAGGATGGATGCACAACTCTAAGAAGGTAATCAGTGTCACTAAGTGGTACATGCAGAAACTGGAGAACTGGAGTATGTTTTGCTGTATATACTCTCAACAACAACAACAAAATAAATAATAAAAAAAGACTAAAAATTCTAAATAACATCAGTTGGTTTATTCAAAACAGGCAGTACATTTCAAATACTGCTGGGGGGAAGGGCAGACGGCCTTAAAACATGCATAATGACCCATCTGTACAAACATGTTCATTACAGGACAATGTTTAATATGGAAAAATTGGGGAAAACTTAAATGTAGAAGCAGAGCATTGGTAGAGATAAACTGTGACATAACCAGAGAATGAATTATGTTCAGGATGTGGCATGAGATGAAGCTGCACAGGCAGGAAGTTGCCAGGGCAAGCGCTGCCAATGAAGTGAGGCCATTTCCTAGAGATCAGGAGTGAATAATGGCATGGAGATGCTGCAGTGCCTGCGTGAAAAGCAGCAGAGTGAGTGGCTGATGGAAATACAGCCAGATAAAGGCATGACTAAAAATGAGAAGAAACAGCTGCAAACATCCACTAATAATAGGAACATGGAATGTACTAAGTACAAATCTAGGAAAACTGGAAGTCATCAAAAATGAAATGGATCGCAAAAACATAGATATCCTAGGCATTAGTGAGCTGAAATGGACTGGTGTTGGCCATTTTGAATTGGACAATCACATGGTCTACTATGCCAGGAACGACAAACTGAAGAGGAATGGCATCGCATTCATCATCAAAAAGAACATTTCAAGATCTATCCTGAGGTACAACGCTGGCAGTGATAGGATAATATCCATATGCCTACAAGGAAGACCAGTTATTACGACTATTATTCAAATTTACAGACCAACCACTAATACCAAAGATGAAGAAATTAATGATTTTTACCAAATTCTGCAGTCTAGAATTGATCAAACATACAATCGAGATGTATTGATAATCACTGGTGATTGGAATGAATGCAAAAGTTGGAAACAAAGAAGGAGGACCGGTAGTTGGAAAACATGGCCTTGGTGACAGAAACGATGCTGGAGAGTATATGATAGAATTTTGCAAAACCAACGAATTATTCATTGGAAATACCTTTTTTTAAACAACATAAATGGCGACTATACCTATAGACCTGGCCAGATGGAACAGACAAGAATCAATTCGACTACATCTGTGGAAAGAAATGATGGAGGAGGTCAATATCATCAGACAGAACAAGGCCAGGGGCTGACTGCGGAACAGACCATCAATTGCTCATACGCAAGTTCAAGTTGAAGCTAAAGAAAATTAAAACAAGTCCACAAGAGACAAAGTATGACCTTGAGTATATCCCACTTGAATTTAGAGACATCTCAAGAATAGATTTAATGCATTGAACACTAATGCCTTAAGACCAGATGAGCTATGGAAGGACATTATACATGAAGAAAGCAAAAGGTCATTAAAAAGACAGGAAAGAAAGAAAAGACCAAAATGGATGTCAGAAGACTCTGAAACTTGCTCTTGAACACAGACAGAGTAGCTAAAGCAAACAGAAGACATGATGGCATAAAAGAGCTAAAAAGAAGATTTCAAAGAGCAGCTTGAGAAGACAAAGTAAAGTTATAACGAAACGTGCAAAGACCCACAGTTAGAAAACCAAAAGAGAAGAACGTGCTCGGCATTTCTCAGGCTGAAAGAAATGAAGCAAAAATTCAAGCCTCAAGCTGCATTACTGAAGGATTCTACAGACAAAATACTGAACAACGCAGGAAGCATCAAAAGAGGATGGAAGGAATACACAGAGTCACTGTACCAAAAAGAATTCGTCAATATTCAACTATTTCAGGAGGAAGCATATGATCAAGAACCGACGGTATTGAAGGAGGAAGGCCAAGCTGCACTGAAGACATTGGTGAAAAACAAGTCTCCAGGAATTGATGGAATACCAGTTGAGATGTTTCAACAAACAGATGCAATGTTGGAAACACTCACTCGTCTATGCCAAAAAATGTGGAAGACAGCTACCTGGCCAACCAACTGGGAGAGATCCATATTCATTCCCATTCCAAAGAAAGGTGATCCAATGGAATGCGGACATTATTGAACAATATCATTAATAGCAAACACAAGTAAAATTTTGCTGAAGATAATACAAAAACAGTAGCAGCAGCATATCAACAGGGAACTGCCAAAAATTCAAGTCGGATTCGGAAAAGGACATGGAACAAGGGATATCACTGCTGATGTCAGATGGATCTTGGCTGAAAGCAGAGAATACCAGAAAGATGTTTACCTGTGTTTTACTGACTATGCGAAGGCATTCAACTGTGTGGATCATAACAAATTATGGATAACATTGTGAAGAATGGGAATTCCGTAACACTTAACTATGCTCACGTGGAACCTACACAGACGAAGAGGCAGTCGTTTGAACAGAACAAGGGGATACTTGCTTAGTTTAAAATCAGGAAAAGTGTGTGTCAGGGTTATATGCTTTCACCATACTTATTCAATCTGTATGCTGAGCAAATAATCTGAGAAGCTGGCCTATATAAAGAACAACAGGTGTCGGGTTTGGAGGAAGACTCATTAACAACCAGAGATATGCAGATGACACAATCTTGCTTGCTGAAAGTGAAGAGGACTTGAAGCACTTACTTACTGATGAAGATCAAAGGCTACAGCCTTCAGTATGGATTACACCTCAACATAAAGAAAACAAATATCCTCACAACTGGACCAATAAGCAACATCATGACAAATGCAGAAAATATTGAAGTTGTCAAGGATTTCATTTCACTTGGATCCACAATCAGTGCATGCGAAAGCTGGACAATGAATAAGGAAGACCGAAGAAGAATCGATGCCTTTGAACTATGTGTTGGTGAAGAACACTGAATACACCATGGACTGCTAGAAGAACGTACGATCTGCACTGGAAGAAGTACAGCCAGAATGCTCCTTAGAAGCGAGGATGGTGAGACTTAGTCCCACATACTTTGGACATGTTACTAGGGGGACCGGTCCCTGGAAAAGGATATCATGCTTGGTAAAGTACAGGGTCAGTGAAAAAGAGGAAGGAAGGCGCTCAACAAACTGGACTGACACAGTGGCTGCAACAATGGGCTCAAACATAGCAACGATTGTGAGGATGGCACAGCACCGGGCAGTATTTCGTTCTGTTGTTTATGGGGTCGCTATGAGCCACTCAACAGCCCCTAACAACAACGACAACAAAGGCAGAACCAGGACCACCATGTAGCAAACTTAGAGCCCAGAGCCCAAATCACTCCCATGAATAGCTCTCACTAAAAATGAAGTGTATGTAGTATACGTAGATCTAACCTAATAAAACAAAGCTTCTCTACAACTTTATACTGACTGCAGAAACAACAGTTTTCATTTACAAATGATTTCACAGCTCTAGAAACTTACAGTTCTGTAAGTCTCTGCTTCTTGCTGAAGGTCCTGAAGTTTATTTTCACTCTCTGTGAGAATTGCTTTTTTCTGCAACTCTAGCTCTTCCAGGGCCAAAGATTCTTGCTGCTCTTTTTCTTGGGTGATCTTCAAATATTCTGACTGGCTCTTTTCCTGTGCCAAAAACAATAATACCATCTTAGTCCCAGCTAAATCTTCAATGTTCCCAAAGCACTTCCACAAAAATCATTGCATTTGATCTTCGCACTGGCCCTGTGCAGCCAGCAGTATCATCACCTCTCTCCTCCCATGCTCTAGTCTACAGAAACAAGTAGTGTGGCTTTTCCAGTATGGTCTGGCCAATCTTTGCCACAATTACTATTTATATGAAAAATTTTGCTCCAGTAAGCCTACTAATGTATGCCATTTTTCCATTACTGAGATTAATTTGCAAAGCACTACTGGATGTAAGGGGTCACCCAACTGTCTACACTCCAGAGTGTAGGATGTCAAGTCTAGGTCTAAAAACTAGTTTATTGAGGCTAATACGATTTTTGAGAAATATCTCATTACAATAGGGGACCCAACATGGAAAATTAAATTAAAAAAATCAGAAGATACTTGCGAATATACAGAGTAGATCAAGGAAATGTAAAAGAAAGCCTACATAACTTTCTTCGATGATCTGGGCTCCCCTACCACCTCATGAATCCTCAAAAGCTTCTCCTTCACTTGTCCTTATGATGTATCAGTATTCACATCACAAGCATTTACTGTTTGGAGAGGAGGAGCTCTAGAGGGTACTTTTAACACGTGGTGGCTTCAAACTCCAACTGAGAAAAGTGTATTTATCTATACCTATTGCTGAAGGTTCACATTCCCAACCCCAGTATTTCAGTTCACAAAGTTTATCATCTGAGAGCTACAGTCTGGTGAAGCACACTACTTTAAGGAAAGATTTTGTTCCATATTATAAGTAAACAGACTAATAAGAAAATACTAGTTTCTAAAACATTCATTTTAAACCATTTAAAATATGCTATGTTTAATGTATACTACATTTTAAATGCATCTCTATATGCCAATAAAAATGAAAAGGAAATCTTAATAGTCTGTTGAATTTTGACGATAAATTCAAAAGCAACTTCTTCCAGAAACTAGGTAGAAAGGGGAGTGGAAGGGGCACATGCAAGCACGCACACGTGTGTGTTTCTATATGCGTGTGTGTTTGTGTGTGTGTCTTGCTTTCTCCACTTGGAATATATCTGACTATATCAGTTCCTAGAACACGTATTAACAAGGCCAATGTTTTCGCTTCAGCGCCCCCAGTGACCACTTACCCCAGCGTGCAAACCCCATTACACTACAATAAACATTTTTAGCACCATTCCTTGCTTCATTTCTATCCCACTTTGACCCTTAATTTCCATGCCCCTGTTTTTAATTTACAGAGGCATGGTGGTTCAGTGGTAGAATTCTCTCCTTCCATGGAGGAGACCCGGGTTCGATTCCCAGCCAAGGCACTCACGCACGGCCACCACCTGTCTGTCAGTGGAGGCCCGGGTGCTGCTATGACACTGAGCAGGTTTCAGCGGAGCTTCCAAACTAAGACAAACTAGGAAGAAAGGCCTTCCAAACATCAGCCAGTGAAAACCCTGTGGGTCACAACAGTCTCCTCCCAAACAAACTGTGAGGACGGTGAAGGACCAGGCAGTGATTCACTCCACTGTACATGGGGTTGCCATGAGTCGAGGACCTATTGGATGGCAGCTATCAACAACAACCTGGCTAATTTATGTTGTCTTGTTACGGTTTTGGAGCCCTGGTGGCGCAGTAGTTAAGAGCTACAGGTGCTAACCCAAAGGCTGGCAGTTCAAATCCACCAGCTGCTCCTTGGAAACCCTATGGGGGCAGTTCTACTCTGTCCTATAGGGTCCCTATGAGTCGCAATCAACTTGACAGTAACGGCTTTGGTTTTTTGGTTATGGTTCCAAGTATTCTTGTAAACTGCTTTGAATCCTTTCTGGATCAACATGGAACACAACGTACCTACATACATGTAAATTTCATGACAACAAACTCAGCCTCTAACCTCACCCAGTAGTTACTGCAAACTCATGATCCTATTTGCCCCAAAGAGAAGATTAGAGAACTCTGCTATTTCAGCTCAAGAATCACTGCTGCAGGAAAATCATAATGATCCAGATCTAACTGAGAATGGGGAAAAAAATGTATGGAAGAAAGAAGATTTCGTTTTAGATAAACACTATTTCTCATCCTTTCACACAGAGCATTTTAAAATTACATACATTACCTCATGGCTAGCTTTATACAAAAACAATCCAACCACATTTTTGACACTGACACTTTTTACGGTAACTTGTATAAAAGGCTTTCTATAATTGAAAAAAAATTTCTGCTTGTTTGTTTTAAACTTTCAGATTACACTATTCTAATAAATCTTCAGCACCTTTGCTCCTCTGGTGGTTGTAGTTAGTTTGGTCCGTGTATTTTAGTTTTTTAAACATCATATGGATTGAAAATCACTGAGGAGATTATTCTACTTAAAAAGAAAACTGCCTGGTCAGTTTCATTCTTCTCTTCAGTAAAATGCATTTTAGAGAAAGCTTTCTGAGCCTTGAGCTCTAAATACAGTCAGTCTGGTAAGATTTTGGACACTCCTCCTGAATTATGCAGCGAGTGGCTTACTGGTTCAATCAGCCTATCTTCTTTCTCCTCCCTAATCACCACCTGCTGCCAGGGCGGGACGATAAACAAACAAATTGATTAAACAAAGAGTGTTGATCGGCACAGTTAATTTTCCCACATAACTCAGCTAACGAGCTCTGTCAGCCTCTGTCCTGCCTACGTGCATGCTCTCTGCATACCCAAGGTCAAGGCTGCCAGTGGCCAATCTCAAGGTAGGAGGCAGGGATGAGGGGATAACAACTTGGAACGTCACCAAGTTTACCTAGAGCAAAACAAAACAGGTACTTACAAGAGCTACTTTCATTTGCTCCTGAAGTTCCCTTTCTCGGACCTGAAACTTTGTGGTCAGTTCCTGCTCTTTGTGGGCCAGCTCCTCTCCATGACGCTTCCGTAGCTTAGCGATGTGCTCTTCTGAGGACTTCTGACGATCAGCCAAATGGATACAGTGAAAACACCCAGAGTGAAATAAGTAACTCCACAACTAAATCATAAATACTTTATAACAGTTCAGTCATCTCACTAATAACTTTGTTAGGAGGAAAAATCCGGACATATTCCCCAGATAAATCAGTCACCAACGTCTCGATAATTAAAAGAAAACCCAGCAATGTTTCGCTGGAGAGCTGCTGCTGCAGCGGCTAGTCCTAGAGGCCAAGGTCCCCACGTCTGCTTCCTGCAGGGAAGGGAGGCAGGGCAGGAGGAACGGCAGTCAGAGCGCTCGAGAGGCTGGCACTTTCCTGCGGGAGAGCTGTCTTGGCTGCACCACCCTAAGTGTACCACACCTTTCTGGGCGGGCATGGACGATGTACTCAAAAGTATTGGCCTTGTGCTTGGATAAGAAGATGCAATCTTATAAAAATGTCAAACCTCCCTAAATAAATCTACAAATTTAATATAATCAAATAAAACTACCAACAGAATGTGGGGGTGGGGGGTTGGGGGCTGAAGAGCTTACTGAAAAATATGCAAGAACAGCCAATAGCCAATGTTGCTATTAAAAAAAAAATTAGCAAAGCACACTTACAAAAATATCTTGTGGTGGGGAGGGCATGGCTAGCAAACAAACATAGAGGCGCAACGTATTTGTGTAAAAAACTGGTGATCACCAGCTAGGAGAGCCTACTGTAAAACCAGAGTAATTACAGCAGTTAATGCTAGTACCTGGTCAGACAATGCAATGGAACAGCACACAGAACCCAGAAAAAAAATCAATTTTAATATAATAATTTAGCATGTAATGAAGACAGTATGGTACAGCAAAGAGGAAAAGACAGATTATTTAAAAAGCAATTTGGAGGCAACCATGTAGTCATCTGGAAAAAATTTAAACTGGACCCCTACCTCACTCCCTATACCAAATAAATTTCAGTTAGATCAAAGATTTAACTATAAAAAAGCAAAAGTATAAAAGTGCCAGAATAAAAAACAGAATTTTTTAAAAAATGACCTCAGAATTGGGCATGTGTTTTTAAAAAGAACATAAAATCCAGATAACATTTAAGGAAAAGGCTAATAAATTCAATTATCAGAAAAAGAAAAATTTTTACAGGGCCAAATAAAAAATTATAAACAAAGCCAACAAATAACAAACTGAAAAAATTATGTGGATAAAAAGTACCTTATGTCCACAGGGACTAATTTCCACAAAAAGTAAAGAGCTTCTACACTGAAATAAGAAAAAGACCAACAGCCTAATAGAAAAATAAGTCAAGGAATCTTCCAGGCAACACAAAGAGAAAAACTAAAAATGCCTTTTAAACATATAAAAATACACTCATCGTACTCATAAGAGATATGCACATTACAACTACAATATCTTTTTTTTAACTATGACCTTGAAAAGAATAAAAATGTTTGGTAATACCATCTTTGTGAGGGGGGCAAACATATTCTAATATATTGCTTCTGAGAGTGTAAACTGTCCTTCACAGAACTTCTAGCAGCTACTAACCATTAAAATACACATAATTTGCCTGAATAATATTTCACTTGTAGGAATCTATCCTACAGAAATACATGTGAACAAATACATATATGCATGTTCACAATTTGCGATAGCAAAAAAATGAAAACAACTTAAATATCCATCGGAAGACAACTGATTAACTAAATTATGGAACATTCACACATGGAATCCCTAAAGAGCCTTTAAAACAAATGGGGCAACTCTTCATCAGTGAAAAAGAAACCATCTTCAAGACAGATTATTAAGTGGAAAAAGCAAAATATAGAAGAGTATACGCAACATGCTATATTTTGTGTTAAAAAGAGATTATAAAAAAATTTGCAAGGGAAATTACATGCAGAGACTGTCTCTGGGAAGGATATTCAAAAAGGAAACTGTACTTTTCTCTGGAGAAACTAAAGGGCTGAAATGGGGGGAGCCTTACTTATAACTGTGTGATCTTTTTATCTTTTGATTTTTATACTATATGCTCACATTATCATCTTTCAAAATAATTTATTATTTTTAAGTTGTTAGATTCCATGGTGATGCTCTTTATCATGACTGATTTTTTTTAAGAAATTAAAATACAGTCAAGCAGTTATAGTTAAGGTCTTGTACATTCAGTAATTGATCACAAATAATTTCTACTGAGCAAGTTGTCTACAGTTCAGTAGAGAAGGAATAAAATATATTAGAAGTATATAACTTTCCCCCAATATATCTGTATGTACATAAAATTATTTATATATTATCCACTATGTAATAACAGGAAAACCCTGGTGGCACAGCGGTTAAGAGCTCAGCCGCTAACCAAAAGGTCAGCAGTTCGAATCCACCAGGCGCTCCTTGGAAACCCTGTGGGGCAGTTCTACTCTGTTCTAAAGGGTAGCTATGAGTCGGAATCGACTCGACGGCAACAGGGATATAATAATAAAAGCACAGGTATCTTACCAAGGAGTTCTAAAAATTTGCAACTCTGAAATCTAGCCTATAAAAGATCTTGGGCCAGTTTAGTGGCCACGATCAAATATCACGAATATAAATGGGGAGTTAGTAAAGGCCTAGGACGAAATGGGCTTAGTGTCAACCAAGGCAAGAATGACGAGAGGAAAAACAGGCAGAAAGGAAAGCAGAGAACGGTGGGTGGGGAAGACAGATGGGGGGCAGGGAGGGGTCGTGATCAATGACATGTTGGGGCAAGGAAGCGTCATGATTAACAACATGTTCACATTTCTGAAAAAATGAAAATCTATAGAATTTTTAAAATTTATTAACTTTTAAAAGAATTTTTTTCAAAAAGCTAATTTTGAAATTGATGTCTATTTGTATTTTTAAGAGTAACCAGAGCACCAGGTAATAATGGAACCCTGGTGGCACAGTGGCTAGGAGCCTGGCTGCTAACCAAAAGGTCGGCAGTTTGAACCCACCAGCCGCTCCTTGGAAACCCAGTGGGGCAGTTCTACTCTGTTCTACAGGGTCGCCATGAGTCGGAATTGACTCGATGGCAATGGGTTTTGTTTTTTTGGTTTTAAGGAATAATGAGCCTTTAAAACAATTAGAAAGGGGTAGCCTTCCCCCTCTTCACTTCCTCCTGCACCTCCTCCAATGCACATCCAGGAAGCGCCTGCTTGGTCAGGTGCTGCGGAGGATACCTGCTGAAGCAGCTCAGCAACCTGCCGTCAGGGGCCTACAGCTGAAGCTTCAGAACAAGGAAGGCATGTCTCAGTTTATAAGGTGGCCCACCAGACAGAAAGCAAAGCTTAAAAGGATCCAAAAAAAAAATCTATGTATTAAATTCATTAATCTACCAAAGTGCTTTTTTCCTATGTCCTGAACTTCCTGGCCTAAAATACAAATTAAGTCTTCTATACGGGCAAAGGTTCTGAGGAAAACATGGACATCCAGTTTAAGAGCTGTTACAGTCCGTTTCAGTCTAGAATTATCTTACTTTCATTGTATCCACCACCTCCTGCTTCACCCGTTTCAACTCCTGCTGGAGACTGATGCGCTCCTCCTGGTACGTTTTCTCAATAGCTTTAATCTGTTCGTCCATTTCTGCCTTCATCTTTTTCCGTGCTTCTTCTGTTTTTTGGGCTGAACTCAAGGCTTTTTCAAGTTCTTCAAAAGCTATAATGAAAACAGTAGAAAACAAGTATCTCAAGAAATACTATCGCTGTACTAATGTTTTATGTTCAGAGGATGGGAACTGAGAGAAGCAGCTGCAGGACAAGTTAAAAAAACTCTGCTCATGGTTTTAGGTCAAGAGGTATTTCTGAGTTGTTCAACAAATTCACAAGAAATGTTCAAGTCGCTAAAACCAACTTGCTGTTGAGCTCTGGGTTTGGATTTTAAGACTGCTTACATGAAACTAAGCTCAGAAGTTTGAAAAAAAAATATTAAATTACTAGCCAGTGTCCTTTTACATAACCATATGAGGCAGTTCTACTCTGTCCAGTAGCGTCACTGTGAGTCAGAATCGACTCGATGGCAACGGGTTTGGTTTTTGGTTTGATCCTTTTAAACAGCAAATTCAAAAAAATGAAAACTTGTCCCTATTTCTGTACAGTTTTAATCGTTTGTTTGTTTCTCTTGCTATACAGTTCTTAAACTTACCCATTATCAATAATTAAGTAATACTATTATACAACATTCACTAGGGCATTTTTAAGAATATAAAAATTACTATTTGGCAAATCTTATTTTTAAAAATCTCTTAATTATACAATAAAAGAGCAGTTACTGGTCAAACAGTGTATTTCAGAATGAAACCTACCACTTGCATGAGTTTTTAAGTAAGACTGTTTTCAGGTGACTAGAAAGAAACCTTTACCTGATGTTGTTGCTCTTGCTGTACGCTGTCAAGCCGATTCCGACCCAGAGCGACCCTGCAGGACAGAGAAGAACTGCCCCATAGGGTTTCCTAGGCTGTAATCCTTACGGAAGCAGACCGCCACATCTTTCTCCCTTGGGGCGGCTGGTGGGTTTGAACCGCCGACCTTTCAGTTAACGGTCGAGTGCTTAACCCCTGTGCCAGCAGGGCTCCTTCACCTGACAGAACAGTGTCTAAAAAGGCACTGGCAGCAGGGAGATCCTGAGTGAGCTAAGTGAGAATGCACGCCCTACAAAAACAATCCTCTCGACTAGCGTAACAAGGTCTTACAGGAAACCAAAGGGCTCACCCAGCACCAAACAGAATTAGACAGGAGCTGGGTAACCTGGCACCAAAAACTACGTGCGTGCATTTATGTGTATGTGTGTGTGCGCACGTGTCAGAAGTGTGTATA